CCCCCAGTAAATCCGCCCATGGATGGATGAATAAAACTTATTATTATTAGCTATCTCAGTCTGTACTCCTCTCTATTAACCTGTTTCTCTATCAAACTACTGTACAAGGTGGTTGCATGATAGAGAAAGTAAACATTTAGTGCCTGGGGTATTAGAAAAGGGCTGGAATGTGCCCTCTTCACCCCCCCCCTCCCCTTTGAAATAATTACAATAGTTAAAGTGTCAACATCAAATTATTTTAGGAGGGATTGCTAGCCATATGGAAAGCTGATTCTAAAGGCAGGTTATCTCAAGCACCTGTTCATCAACATGATTGTGGTTCTGCTATCACACATTGTCTTTTCAAACCTCCAGTAGCTCAAGAAAACCCCATGTAAGTTCATAAACTGTATTCAAATAATATCTGCATGTTTGTTCGGTTTCCCCTTTGCTCTTTTAAACATTTGTATTTATTAGCATTTGTTTTGTTTGGCGTTCACTTTTATTTGCGTTCACTTTAACGATCGATTTTGCAAGCGTTCATTTACACACTATTAACTGTAATTTACATTATACACTTAATTTTTGTTTCAGAGGGAAATACTAGGTAGTTTTGTTTCCCAGAGAGTTTAATCCATTCTAAGACGAAGTGGAGACATTAAAGGGTATTCTTAGTTGTTCACGATATTTTGTTGATACCGGTATGGCGGTCGGTATTGGTATTGAGTATGCCACCATGTTTAAGAAACTTCACAACGTCGGTTTCTCTCATGATGCAATCTATTGGGTATTGAATTACTTAACTGGGAGAAAACAGTATGTTCAAATTAATGAGAAACAATCGCAGGTAGTTGATGTACAGTTTGGAGTGCCGCAGGGATCTATTTTGGGGCCTGTGCTGTTTAATTTGTATGTAAACGATTTGGAACCAGATTTGGAATGCTCATGCTATCAGTATGCCGATGATACGACCTTGTATCGACATAGCGTCCCTTCAAAGATACATGAATGCGCTAAGAAACTTCAGGATGCAATGACTGTGCTTGAAAACTGGGCAGTAGAATCAAATCTCGCCCTTAATGAGACAAAAACCAAACAAATGTTAATAACAACCTCGAAAATGTCCAGAGTACACGGACTTGACACCGTTGTTCCTGATATCAGAGTCAAGGTACAAACATTAGAGAAAGTTGAAGAATTCAAACTTTTAGGCACATGGTTTAGTGATAACCTCAAATGGGGATGTCACATAAAACACGTAACTTCATCTTGTTACGCAGTTCTCTCTATCTTAAAGAAATTAAGAAATCTTACACCATTCCATATCAAAAAACAGTTGGCAGAATCTTTGATACTTTCAAAAATATTTTATAATATAGTCGTCTATCACCCACTACCCGCGACCCAACTAAAGAAACTACAGCGCGTCCAAAACGCAGCCGCAAGCTTTGTAACCAACAAATACTGTCGCATAGGAGATGTGTTGTCATTGGGATGGCTGCCAATACATGAAAGAACCGAATTTGAACTTATGCGTTTCGCGCACAAGTCCATATGGGATCATTCCTGGCCTCAATACCTGAGATTAGAACTGCGTACTAACAATCGACTACTTCGATCAAGTAATGCCCCATCGTTAATGGTACCA